AGCCGCACTCCCACCGGCCACACACAGCCTGCCATCCATCCCGTGGCTCCTTCTGCGAGGGCACAGCACCTGTGCGGGCCAGAGCATGGCCTTGGGCTCTCTCAGGCCGAGGTGTTCGGGCAGTAAATTGGGGCAACTGTGGACCTTTACGTCACCATGGGAGAGGCCTCTGGGGACCACTGGTGCTCTGGGTGGTGGCCGGTGGTGGCCAGTGTCCCTAGTGGCCTTAGGCACAGGTGCTGACACACAAGCCAGGTCCCTGCTGACCCCCAACTCCCAGAAAGAACCCTGTGCACATGGTAGACCAGGCAGGCACTGGCAGCCGGCCAGCTCCAGCCCCAGAATCGAAAGCCATTGGCCCCTGGTGCCCCAGGCCTGCTAGGGCCCCGCCCACGGAGCTCACCTCTGTTTCTGGCAGCTGCTCTGGGGAGGGGCGGCCTGGGGGCTGGCTCTCTTCTGCAGGAGCTGCTTTTGAGCTTGGCAGGTTTTCCCCCTGGAACTTGAGGGGGCAGAGAGGAGGGATGGAGGTGAGTGAGCAGGAGGCAGACCTGGCCCAGGGCTGAGACTTGGCAACCCTCTCCTGCTCCCTGGAGTGCAGGGACCCAGGGGCACATCTGACTTCCAGGTCCCCTCCTGTCACCAGAACCACCCCACAGAGCTGGACACGCCTCCCTTCCTCACCGCCCCCCTCCCCGTCCCCGTGTGCACCCAGCTGTGCACAAGCCCCTTCCCACACACTGCCAGGTGCTCTCAGGCTCAGAGCTGGCCGATCTCCCTCCTCGTACCCTGGTTGCCAACCTGAGGCCTGGCTCTGGGCACTCGGCACCATATGAGTGAAGTGAAAATGTGCCCAGCCTGTCGGTGGCCAGCTTGTGTGAGCCTCACTGAGCCAGGGCAGGAGGGAGGACTGGCGTAACCAGGGTAGGGAAGTCCAAAGAGGGGCCATGAGCACAGGGGCTGGTGGCTGGGGTCACCTCCAGCATCACTGGACCTCTCTGGGTCTCTGCATGGCTGGGGTAGGGCTACATCTGGCAAACACTGGGGACTCCCAGCCAGCGAGCAGGTGAGAGGGGCTGAGCCTGGCACCTCAGCTGGGTGTCCCACGGGACGGGGCCCCAGGGAGCCCTGACCCACCCATGTACAGTCCTTGGTCTGCCGGTCGGTCCTCTGGGCCCCAAGCCTGCTGGCAGAAGGCGCCTGAGACCCAGGCTCTCTGAGATGGGTGAATCCCATTAGTGCCTGCACCTAGGTGCCCAGAACCATCGGGCCTTAGGCCCGGGAAGTGAGGGCTGGGTGCTGGGCTGGGGGACAGGGGCACTGCCCGCTGGGCAGAGTATGAGTCTGGAAAGGCGAAAGTTCTGGGGCCAGGCAGTGGCGGTGTGCATCTAACGTGCCGAGCAGTGCGCTGAGCGGGCCTTATACCGCCGGGGCTCCCCGTGCTCTTAAGACAGCTCTCCTCCAGGCCCTGCTTCCAAAGGGCCCTAAAACCATGTGGGTAAAATGTGACTGCCACGAGCTGGTGACCCAGGGGAGGGGGTGCCAAGGGCCCTAATCCCCCCATTGCAGAGTCCTGACCATGACCAGTGAGGCCTCCCTGGGGTGGGGTGGGAGAGTGAGCAGCTGGCCAGGCCTATGCACTGGGTTCTTGTGGGAGGAGGAAGGAGGACAGGCATGTTCACCACAAGCCATGGCTGGCCAGGGAGCCTGGCCACCATGGCAGCACAGGCAGGCCAAGCTGAGCGTCAGGGGAGGGTCCTGCCCCAAGCCTAGATCAGGCCAGCCCCGAGGACCTGCCCGTGTCTGCGTGTGGCTCGTGTATGACATGGGGCAGGGCACACCACACTGTCCGGGGTGGCCAGACCCCACCCTAGCCACTAACGCACTGCTCAGGTGAGTGGCGATACCCCGGAGACCTGACCACCCATCCTCACCCATGGACAGCTCTCTACTCCCCCAGCCTAGAGGAACCAGAAGCCACGGGTCCACGATGGCCTGACCTGGGGAGCCCCAGGAACCCCTCTCTTTCTAAGGCCTCTCCCACTCTCTCATTCCAAAGTTCCCCTGAATCGTGCAGGAGTCGGCCTCACGGGTTGCAGGGCGCTCCTCCCCACCTGCCCCTCTGAAGAACACCGCTTAGTCACCGCTGCACAGAAGCCTGCCTTGGCCACAGCCCCAGAGCAGGTCCCACGCCCTTCCACTTGCTGGTAAGTGACTGCAGCCTTGTGGCACCCAGCCCCAGGCCCCTCCCTGGCCTGCCGCTAAGCCACTCACCAGAAGCCTGGCGCTGGGAGGCGCTGGAGAGTTCGTGGCCCCGGCCGAAGGTGGCCTTGTCTTCAGCTCTGCGCTCAGCTGTACTGGGTACACTGAAGCCTGGAGCAGGACAAAGGGGTGGCACAGGGATAGGCCTGGGAGGGCCTTTCAGGAGAAGGTCCCAGGTCAACAGCTGCTCAAGCCTGCACCTCCTACACACCCTACAGGCCTGGGGGTGCAGGCCTGAGGTGCACCCCCACCCACCGGGCACTCACTGCTGCTTGACTGGGCAGTGCATCCCATCCAGACCACACTGGCATGCCCATCTCCCAGCAGCAGCCTCGCCGAGCTGGCAGTGAAGCTCGGGGCCCTGGCCCACTTCGACGCCCGTCTACCCGCCCCGCTCCTGAGATGCAGGGACAGAGTGTGAACTCCAGGCCTGGATCTACGAACCCTCCAGGGTCCCACGGGCCCTCTGTGGACCCATCCTCCCAGCTTGCCATCCCCCTGTCTCCTTGGCTCCCCCCCACCATCCCCGGCTGGCTCTTTCTCACCCTCTGCCCAGCTCAGAAGCACCTCCCAGCAGCCTCTCCTCCCCGCTTCCTGCTTGGAGCCTCAGGGTACAAGGCCCACACGTCCCTAGTTGGCCACTGACCGAGGAGCTGGCCATGGCAGTGGGGCCACCTTTGTGCTCAACCCAGTCCAGCCCACTCCTCACCCTCCCACTCTGACCTGGGTGAGCAGGGGCGGGAAGGGCACATGCCACCCTGCGGGTCTTCCTGCGTACTGCCGGCGAGGCCTTGCAGAGGCGTGAGGCGCTAGAGGGTGCCGAGGTGCCCAGGGAGGCGCTGCTTGTCTGCCACTGAGCCTGAGCCCGGATCCTATCCCTCAGCTGCTCCAACCGGGGGTCGCTTTTTCTGGGCTGCCGCCGTGGCCCCAACACCAGGGGTGGTCTCTCTTTCCAGGGCCCATGAGCAGGTGCACACGACTCGTGGCCTCCCGAGGAGCAGGAGAGGCGGCCCGATGACACGGAGCTGTCCCTGTCCCTCGCCTCCTGGCCCCAGGACCACTCAGGCAGGCTGAAGGCCATCCCCAGGGCAGCCTGAGCCTCAGTGCGATCTGACCAGGCCATGTGAGCAGTGGGCTGCAGTGAGGGCCCTGGCCACTGCACGGCAGACCCAAGGTCGTCCTCGGCTACGGGTGGACAGAGTTCGCCTTCCCTGGGAAAGAGCAGCAGAGGCATCTGGTCAACCGCGGAGGCCGGCACGGCCGGGCGGAGTGCTCGGCACCATCGCCCCGCTGTCTCAGGATGCCACGGCCTGGGAAGAATATGGGGAACAGAGCGCAAGCCCCAGGCCACACCCTGACGTCTCTCCTGGATCCAGACCATGCCCCTTGGAGGTGGGTACTGTGATTGGCCGATTTGCAGGTGGGAAACTGACGCTGTGAGAGGCTAGGCCCCCTGCCGGAGGTTCATGGCAGAGACAGGCGAGGACAGGGCACTGTGACCCCACGTCCGTGCCCCGAGCACCAACTGAGTGCCCTCCAGGGGAAGGTGCGACATCTGTGCTAAGTGCCAGGGGCATGTGTGCGAGTCCCTGCAAATGCTACCTGGGCACGGGGCAGGCCCTCCTGTCAGCTGCTCTGCCCGGGGCCCCGTGGGAGAAGAGGCCCTGGCTCTGGCCGCCTCTGGGACAGAGCGAGACCATTTCTGGCAAGCCAGAGGACAGCATGCCCAGGACTGAGGTGGGCATGATGCAGGGCCAGGCTGGCGAGGAGCGCCAGGAGAGCCTGGTCACCAGCCTGCCCGCAACTGGTAGTGCCTTCGCATGGCTTCAGGGTCTTCCGCCGGACAACCCTCACTGCTCAACACGGGCTGGCCACTGGCCGCTGCCCGTGCGGACCCTGCCTGTGCTGGTCCCCTAGCCCAGGATGGGGACCTCAGCTCAGTCATTGATGCGGGGTGGGCTCGGTTGACTGCCGGGCCCTGGGTTGGCGATGGCTGTGGGCCTTTCCAGCGAGTTGACTCAGTGGGGTGGAGAGAGTTCCAGGTAGCCCATGACAGCATAATCACTCCGTGTCACTCAGTGACACAGCCTAAGTCCCCGGCCCCGGCAGGGCCTCTGAGAAGCCTCCACCCCAGTCCTCCTTGGGCCAAAGTGGGACACAGGGAGGCTGGGGACTGGGCAGGCTCACTGGGGTCTGGGTCGGGGGCAGGTGTAGGATGGTAGGGGCGGGTCAGGATTGAGGCCACTGTGGGCTTGAGGCCCAGTGCCAGGCGGGATCAGGGCTTAGTCTGGGGTTTCAGCAGAGTTGACCTTTGCTGGGCAGGAGAGAGGGGGCACTCGAGGCGGTGTGCCCATGCTGGCCAGGCCCCAGCCCTGACATCACAGCAGCGAAGCACCCGCTCCTGCATGGCCCTTTTCTGGCTACCCTCCGGCCACCCTCGGGCTTCCTCAGCTCTCGGGGAGCGGCTGCTGGCTGCTCGGCTGACCCTGGCACATGCCGGCAGCTCGCCACAGCAACGGCAGGTGGAGATGCCAGACGCTGCCTGAGCACGGGGGCCAGGCTCATCTTTGCGGCCTGAGGGAGTGGCCGCAGGTAGGTTGCCCTCACCTTCGCAAAGATCCTGGCGAGGCAAGGCAGGGCAGTGGGGCACTGGGCAGTGTGATCTCAGACAGTGCCACTTGAGCAGTGAGACCTGGGCACTGCCGACCCCCTACTCTGGCACCAGGGAGCTTGGGCTGCAGGCGACAGCAGGGGGCTGTTCCAGGGTGGTCAGGACCTAGGTCTAGGAGCAGCCCGGAACTGCTCCTGCCAGGGCACCCAAGGGGTCTGCAGCAAAAGCCCCCAATTGAGGCAGGCACACAGAATGGGGAGCTGGCGTCGAAGTATATTCCTTATGATTCTGTTTTGGGGTAGAGAGTGAGAGCCGGGGCGGGTGGGACAGAGAAGTCTGTGTAGGGCTCAGCTCGCCGGGACAACAGCCATGCCCGTCCTATTTAGGCTGGGCCAGAACCAACTCCGGCCTCCGCATGGTCTCAGCAGTGGCCTCAGCCACCGCAGCAGCCCTTAAGGCTTATGGGACTCTTTGAGGGAACAGATAAAGAATGTCTGGGGGGCCTGGCAGGTGGCATGGTGGTTAAAGGTGCTGGACTCCTACAAGGCCGACCGCAGTTTGAGTCTTAGACCTGGTATATTGCTCTCTCTGTCTTTCTCTGGTCAAAAATTTAAAGTGATGGTAATAAAGGAATAATACTTTTTAAAAATGTGGATTATTTGGACCAGCAGTTGGCATAATGGCTAAGTCTCTGGACTCCCATTTAGACGACCGCGGTTCGAGTCCTGGACCCAGTGGCTTAAACTCACACCAGGTGCATGTGCGTGCGTGCCCAAGATCCCGAGAGGAGAATGGAGGAGAAGGGATTGTGGCGTGTCCATCCCTCCTGGGGGGTGATTTCTCGCTTTCTATCTCTCTGTCTCTCTCTGTTTTTCTAGCAAGCACAGGTGCCCTATAGCAAAAACCTCTCAAAAAAAAAAGGATTATTAAAAAAAAGAACAGCTGGGGACTGCTGTCCTGGCCCAGCCCCACGCACTGACGGAGTACAAAGGTGTCCAGGACACTGTCTGAGCTGCCCCAGCCAAGGAGGAAGAAAAGAGGGAGTTGCCCGGAACAGCTCGCCCTGCATGGGAGACCCCCACCTCCAGCCCGCCTCTGGCCCTCCTGTATCTCCAGACAACCGGCCCAGCCAGCAGGACC